TCACCAACGTAATGTGCGTGAAATAGATTCGGCGCGAACAGGGTTGCCAGGCGAATGGATTTGCGTTAGGTAGTAGTAGATTGAAAAGCACATTTAAAAAAAAACACGTAGTAGGAAACTTATTTTTTGGGAATTTAAAAAATTAATAATATTCTAAGATTAAAAAACACAGTTTTTAACAACTGCCTCAAATGTGTTGCTGATGAGGGTGATCTGGTTTTTAAGGTTAAATGGTGTAATTATTTAGCTCGCGGCCCATCTAGTTTAAGCTGTTACCGGAACTCATAGACATCAAAAACGCAAATGCAGCGACACACATTAGGACATGACTGCCCTACCCTTTAAGCCGGAAAGCCTTACTGCACAAATGGATCGGTCGATACGAATGCACTAGGCGTCTTGTCCTTTAGGCCACGACGAATTTAATTTTTTTTTATCAATAATTTATTTTACACTCCCATTTGAATTGTCAGTCATCCGTGACCATAAAAACTATTAATTATTCGAAATTCGAAAGCTAATGCAAATAGATAGGTAATTAAAATTGCAAACTGCAAGAAAATCATTTTTGTTTTTATTCATGCTGACATCTACTTTCTGGAGTTCAATATACAATTACATAAAAGTGCATTTATGTCGCATACATAATGGATTTGAAATAATTGTTGTTGAAATAGTTGTAATTTTTTTTTTATTGCTTAGATGGGTGGATGTGCTCACAGCTCACCTAGTGTTAAATGGTTACTGGAGCCCATAGACTTCGACAACGTAAATGTGCCACCCACCTTGAGAATAAGTTCTAAGGTTTCAAGTATAGTCACAACGGCTGTCCCACCCTTCAAACCGAAACGCATTACTGCTCCACGGCAGAAATAGGCAGGGCGGTGGTACCTACCCGCGCGGACTCACAAGAGGTCCTACCACCAGTAATTACGCAAATTATAATTTTGCGGGTTTCACTTTTATTACACGGATGTTATTCCTTCACCGTGGAAGTCAATCGTGAACATTTAATTTTGTTGAGTACGTAATTCATTAGAAAAATTGGTACCCGCCTGGGATTCGAACACAGGTGCATCGCTCAACACGAATGCACCGGACGTCTTATCTCGTAGGCCACGACGACTATCGATAGTAGTTGTAAGTTTTATCCCTCCTGGCTGAGCCTTTGCTCGCCCACTTATCCTAGTGAAACTGAAAAGGCCTCCAGGACACCAGTAATCCTGCATTCCATAAAAAAAATCGTCAATTTATTTTGGACAAAATACAAATTGTATACAAACTGTACAGAATTGCAGTCTACTGATTAATGGTTCTCGAAGAATACGAAATTATCTACCCTAATGATTTTATATTCAGCAACCCACACCATCTTCCAGTTTCTAGAAGAAATGTTTAAATTCAGGCTGCCGCAGCCCGCCGACTCGGAACGCTAAATTAGCCTGCCACGCGGCGGATCGCGTTGTTTGAAATATTATGTGAAATGATAAAATATTAGTTTCGTGATATTTTCATTTTGAGAGACGCTGGTTCACGTATCGCATTTCCGAAACCGTCGAGGAGACGAAAGTTTTCGGGTTATTTTTCACTTGAGTGAGTTATGAATAAATGTTTACTTAACATACCTACTAATAACGTATGCGTATACTGTCTATTGTTTTGTTTGGAGCCAAAATATTTTTCTCTTTTCTAAGTATCTGACTGTATCCTGCTCTTTTCAGGGTAACTGAGGACGTTATGACATAATTTTATGGGTTTAAGTATATTACTTTCCTCACAGTAATTACGTAATGTATTTCCATTCGTCAATAATCTTCAGCGACTTAGCTTTATCCCTGGCATTGCTGACGTCTATAAACGACGGTAACTACTCACCATCAGGCTGGCCATATGCTGGTCTGCCTAAAAGAGCAATAAAAAATAACTAATAAGTTAACGAGTTTCCCCCCAAAGTAGACCTTTGACAATGAAAAAACAACTTAAAAGTCATTTTTATAATACCAGTATTTACATTAACCAAGCATTACGATATTTTTTTCCAAAACCAATATAAAGTCAACATTATAGAAACAAGTTCAACAAACTGTGCATACACTAAATGACGTAGCAAGTGGACGTTCGCATTTTACTGAAAGCTGTCATATTGTGTACAAACTGTTAATTGGTCTGCACAAACAACATACCCTTTCGTTTTATTTATTCTGAAAACAATAAACATTTTCTCCATTTCGTATTTGATTAAACAATATTTCAAAATTTCGTACATCGCATTGCTAGATCATATACAGTAAGCTGACAGCGAAAATAACCTAACCAATTAGTCCCAGTTCAGTTGCAAATTCTAATCATTTCGGTTATGTAGTACATAGAGATGTAGTAGTGAAGTATTGAAAACCCACTATTCTTAAAATGGAATTCGTATATTATAAAAAAAAATTGGAATGGGGTGGCCTGTTCTGTGTTCATAAAAAAAAGTAGAACCGAAATAACGGCGACGAAGGCTGGCTCTTGAACGGCAATGAATAATCCTCGCGTCAGCTCCACGCAAGCTGACTGCCCAATTAAAAACGTACTCTTGCCACGATTTTTAGCTTAGAATATTGTATAATAAGCCAATAAAATACCCTACTTTACGCCCTACGAGCCGGTGGCTGGCCATGAAATATGCACTTCCCTCCCTCATTACGGAAAGTACAAAATTATATGCAAGAGCCGAGACCGGAATCTCGGTTACTACTTTAATTTAGGATTTTAATATGTCTATTTTACTTTACTGACCAAGCTCTTGACATTAGTAGTGATTTTTTTTTATATTCTTTCAAATTGTAAGTGCTAATGGATGTTGGGGAACACTTTTTGTATATGAGGAATTTAAAAACGGGCTGCGGTATGCTGTCTCTATAATTTCTTTCACCTGAAAATCTAACAAAGCATCAGTTTCTTCCGCACGATTCTCCTCCATTGGTTCCGACATCCAGCAAGACGTACCCCTTCCTTCGGTGACGTTAATATTGAAGGCTATGCGTATCTGTCCTCTCGAATATTTTGAAAGCAAATGACTCTGGTATGGACAAGAGGAAGGCTCTTGTCCATACCAGAGTCATTTGCTTTTAATATTGAAGTTATCAAATTAACATGGTATTTTTTAAAAGTCTAAAGCCATAAATTATCTAGGAGTTGCTTTCTTAGTTTAATGCAATTAGCTATCCCGTTAATGAATGAGCGGTAAATCGTCACTAACAAGTCCCAGCTAAAGATTGGACATGTTTTTTTTTTTTTTATTTTTATTACTTAGATGGGTGGACGAGCTCACAGCCCACCTTATATTAAGTAGTTACTGGAGCCCATAGACATCTACAACGTAAATGCGCCACCCATCTTAAGATATAAGTTCTAAGGTCTCAAGTATAGTTACAACGGCTGCCCCACCCTTCAAACCGAAACTAATTACTGCTTCACGGCAGAAATAGGCAGGGTGGTGGTGCCTACCCGCGCGGACTCACAAGAGGTCCTACCACCAGTAATGTAGCGCAATGTTTTCTCATTAATTGCATTTAAAACTTACAAAAATAGCTCATTGAAAGAAAGATTACTACTTCTATTCCCTTCGTTACAACAGCTATTTTTAGTGCAAGTGCAATACGTTCATTAAACCGGTGTAAACCACGACAGACATATAAGATACATTGTCACGTCCGTTACACTATTAAAACCGCTAGTGGTCACGCTACCGTTCATGAAAAATAAAACGAAAAAACTTATTATCTTACTTTGTGTAAATAAAGAAACCTACACATCCTTTTAAGGGGTGCTTTAAAGAGGTAATTTGTTAATGGAGCGGCCGCAAATCTGCCGCTATCTGATGCCGCAACGACCCGCCTTTTCGAAACAAGTAAACTCCTGATGTTTTTTTTTTTTTCTAAGTAATGTCCGCGACGCGCCTTGTTTAGTACCCCTTCCGCGATAAGAACTCTTAAAAAGATATTAAGGGCTTTTAAAGAAATTGTCTTGTGCACTCGTTTAAGACAGCGCAGATAATCGTCTTAAGAACCATTTGCTGCAAATGTGAAACGCTTGTTCAAAGAATTCTGTGTTAAGAAAAGTGCATATTGCAATTGTGTATAATGTTTTTTTCTATGTATAAGTATATACCTAATATTACTAGAATACATATTATACTTAACATGAAATGACTTCCATAACTCAATAGAATAGAAACAGGTTTCACATAGACCACGGTAGTGTTTCCTTGACTTTGTTTGACAAAGTGGTTATTATTTTTTCATTCAATTACACCAATAGCATGCTGTCTTGTTTAATGAATACTAAGTGTTAATTGTCTTAAATGTAACGAAATATTAAAACGCTAGATTTTCAGATCATTATTTCTAATATAATTCATTCCACTCTGCAGCATAAGTACTCTTAGACATTTTCTTCGCGTGTCCATATTTCTAAGGGAAATGCTATAAACTTTTCTCCCTCCAGGGTTATCTTCGTTTTTCTGCAAGCTACGTGCCATTTCGTCTTGCTAAGTACTTGCGAGCTTAAATTATACAAGATCTTAAGATAACCTTTCTACGCTAATTAACGCATTGCCTTTATTTTTGTGTACACATATGAAGCTGTATCTGAAACTTAAATCAAATACTTTGCGTTGGAATAGTGACTATACCACCCTTCAGACTGAAACAAGTGAAATGAGCAAGAGTCCGGTACCATCACGTTTACTGAAGGTAGGACGTCTTGTGAGTCCGCACGGGTAGGTACCACCACCTTGCCTATTTCTGCCGTAAAGCAGTAATGCCTTTCGGTTTAAAGGGCGGGGCAGCCGTTGTACTGTTAAAAGTAAGACCTTACAACATACATGTCTCAATATGGGTGGCAGCATTTACGTTGTAGATGTTTATGGGCCAAAAAAAAAAACTTGCCATAGAGGAAAGCACAACAACATCAAACCCGCCCTCAAAATACACACGTAACTTCAATCTCATGCCACAATGGGGGAGGGTGATGGAATTATTGTCGATGAAATTATTCTCTTTAGTAACGAACTTCAACAAGTAAGCCGTGAACATATTTTAAACTGATAGATATGATTTTCATATGTATGTAAAACAAGTCAACTCCTTTATTATACACATTTCACGAACAAAATTTTCAAAGTTACAAAAATGTATTTGAAGATATCGGAATATTCTTCGTTAAAAATGAATAAAACAAACATGTTTCGAACAGCAATAAATTCACGTTAAAAAATACCTTACTTTTAATTTTCAGAACATCATCCTACAATTCGTCATCGATGGGATTTGATTTTAAAAACTTCAATCATAAGGTTGAATTTGGTTCATAATGATGAGCAACTTATTATATCATAATAGGTTCTCATGAAATAGCGATCACACGCCTATCAGACAAACTGTCAACACGTCATAATTAGAGCGCAATGCTTTACAAGTATTGTTTACAATATCTCGGCTACCAGTGATTAATACAAACATACTTAGTCCAAAAGCGCGGTTTTGTTTACATAGGGCCACTTGTTCGACGAACATGCAAGTCGAGGGGAAACAAACAAATTCATAGATTTTGATTGTTAGTTTTAATATTTCAGGAAACACTGCTGAAAGATTTTGGAGATACTCATTAAATACATACTTGTTTTTCGATTTAAACTTTTTTAAATTAAAAACATATTGATTTACTTATGCGTGTAAATTATATTACTACTACCAATATAAATAATTTAAGTTTGGAAACGTATTACATAAAATTTTGTGTCACAATTATTTAAATGTTTATATAAAATTTCTTAAAACAAAAATTATTTAAAACAAAAGTATCACTATACAATGAAATTGCTAAATTAATTAATACTTGAAGGAAGTGAAGTGAGCCATTGCCCGAGGCTCTAAAATCTTTTATTTTTGTTAATGTATTAAATAAAATAGAATCGTATGAACTTCGTTCAAGGTTAAAAAAATATTCAGAAGAAAAATAAAAACGAATAGCGATTCAAGTTAGCATTCGCGTTTTTTTTTTTATTGCTTAGATGGGAGGACGAGCTCACAGCTCACCTGGTGTTAAGTGGTTACTGGAGCCCATAGATATCTACAACGTAAATTCACCACCCACCTTGAGATATAAGTTCTAAGGTCTCAAGTATAGTTACAACGGCTGCCCTACCCTTCAAACCGAAACGCATTACTGCTCCACGGCAGAAATAGGCAGGGTGGTGGTACCTACCCGCGCGGACTCACAAGAGATCCTACCACCAGTAATTACGTAAAATAAAATTTTGCGGGTTTGATTTTTATTACACGATGTTATTCCTTCACCGTGGAAGTCAATCGTAAACATTTGTTGAATACGTATTTCATTAGAAAAAAATTTGTTACGCGCCTGTGGGATTCGAACACCGGTGCATCGCTTCAACACGAATGCACCGGACGTCTTATCTTTTAGGCCACGACTACTTCAATCGCGTTGTGATATCTATGGAATAAAAGGAACCGTTCATCACTTCAAATCAGATGTTCAAGTGCTCGTTAACCTGTCTAAGCAAAAAACAATAATAAACTACAAAGAACAAAAACAGTCGGTTCAAATCGATCCAGATTATTGAAAATAATGAACTAGATTACCCGCTTGTATCTAGTAGCATTTTAAGCATTAAAAATTCGTTTTAAGTGTCGAAAACAGACATTTGATATTACTGTTAAATTTTTATGAATGTTCTGTATATAAACATGTTTTATTTTTCTGTTACATGAAACATTTCTTACGGCAGTCAGTGTGTGTTCGTTTATACAAGTTAAAATTGTAGAGTTCATTCGAAATAGCCATTGAGCATTTGTTTTAATTATTTGAACTACTAGGCTTAACAAGGCTTTAGTTATTAAAGCATTATAGTTACGGAAAATTTACCACTGCGCATCATATGGAATGGAACTATTTGAACTGGTGGTAGGACCTCTTATGAGTCCGCACGGATAGCCCTCACAGCCCACCTGGTGTTAAGTAGTTACTGGAGCCCATAGACATCTCCAACGTAAATGCGCCACCCACCTTGAGATATAAGTTCTAAGGTCTCAGTATAGTTACAACGGCTGACCCGCCCTTCAAACCGAAACGCATTACTGCTTCACGGCCGAAATAGGCGGGGTGGTGGTACCCGTGTGGACTCACAAGAGGTCCTACCACCAGTATAGATAAACTATAAACTTGAATATCAGCAACATCATTATTTAAATAAATTTCTTGGCAGTTTTAAAATTTCAAAGAGAACACGTCTGTTTAGATTAGAGTGGTACTGTCGGGATGAGATCGCGGTCGCGACCGGAAACTCAGATTCACCTAAATTGCCAGAGATGTTAAGTATCCTGACTCGTTTTAAAATGATTAAATATTAAATAGCTCAGGGTACGCGGAGCAGATGATGCTTCTACGGTTTGGAACAGGAAAACGAGTAGTGCCTTTTTATAAGTTTGTAGAAGAATCTTTTTAAAATTGAATACTAGAACATCACTACATAGTATAAAACAAAGTCGCTTTCTCTGCCCCTATATCTGTCTGTCCCTATGTATGCTTAAATCTTTAAAACTACGCAACGGATTTTGATGCGGTTTTTTTTAATCGATAGAGTGATTGGAGAGGAAGGTTTATATGTATAATAACATTCATTAAATAGTTGAAAAATGAATAATAAATTACAGTTTCCTAAGCGAAGCGAGGGCGGGTCGCTAGTATACTAGAAAAATAAAACAAACTTTGTAAATATTTTGGTAATTACGAGAACTTTTGTAATGACATATTCTGATCACAAATCTTCGTATTATTAAGCCATTAGTTGGATATGCTTAGACCGCTGGCCATCTTCGTTTTAAGTGAATTGCTTTAGGTCAAAGAGCTACCTAAATAACTACATGATGTATCTTTAAAAAAATATGGAATCATCCTGTGTAGCTACAGGCGGCAGATGATATCTAATTAGCCACCCGCCTTTAAGTGCATAATTTGAAACCAGTGCCGAAACAAGGAAATTTATTGTCATGTACCGTTATAATTAGCAGAAGAATTTGTAATTACTATACAATTAATATAGGCTCGGATTAGATTTCGTTTCTATTTGGACCGCGATGAACAAGCCAATGAACTAACTGATTTTGACGATATTCGGTATGCAATAGTGGGAAACCCTGGAAAATAATCAAGCCTACCTTTCATCCTACTGCTAGGTATGGGTCTCCGCACATGCGATATAAATTATAGTTGACGAGTCGAACCTGGAAATGGAAAGCTAGTAAATTAAAGCTACCTCGGACAAAGAATTAGTCTAGCTATTCAAAGGGGGAACGCTGCCAGTATCTTCGGAACCTTGCCTAAAGGGACTCCTTTTAATAATATATTTTAGTTATTACATTACATTTTTTAAGGTTTTTATTTTTAGATTCATTGTTCTAGTATATATTTATTTATAAACAGATATTGTCAACTATCTAAGTTACTCGACATTAAACTTTTTATTGATTTTTTGATCGTACGTTAATATATTTGAGTCCGAGATCTAAACTAAAACCTTTTAACCACGCCAACAAATATTCAAATTAATCTTGCTCATCTGTGTCGGTTTTATATGGTCGTATTTTAAATGCTACTTGGCACTATCATGTAGCAGTGACGTGTCGTTCCAGTCCGTGCCCAGAACCACGCATGCGCAGCGCTACCACCGGAAGCCGGAAGTTGTGGTGTTGCGGCGCACAATCTGGAGTTGGACGGCGGGAAATACTGAATCAAGTGCAGCCTGTACCCCGTGTTATATGTATGGCACTGTTAAAGATAAATGGGAACGTTTTCGTAGTATGATATCCAAAACCATAGAGTAATTTTAGTCTGGATTAATTGCTTGACAATACGCACTTTTGTGTTTTGGTGCAGGAAAATTTCATTGGAATAATAATATTTGTGCTTATAATATCAGCATTTTGATAGTTCGTTGGAAATGTATTTACGTAATTATTTATGGCTTCGGTGAAATACTAAGAAATGAAACGAAAGCGTGGAAAATATGATTAAAATTTTGAGATAAGTAACAGACGTTATCACAACGCATCCAGTGCTCAGTGATTACTATAGTCTGTAAATAACACAGCATAAATTTCGCCGATCACCTTGAGAGAAAGGTGAAGATCGTAATATATTATGTCTATTCAAACCCCTCACAACAGAATGCAATAGTTTATGGCTGAAATATGTAGGATAGTGGCATCAATTCGTGCGATGTTTCAACATTCCTCATTACCGACAATCATAACCTACTGTTACACGCTGGAGCTCGGGATAAATAAAAATTCTACCGAATCACAAATTAAAACTGTATTAGCACTTATAACACTCGCAGAACACTTTAAAATTCTTAATTCACTTCTTCCGCTTCGCTTCAGGTGATCCGTTCGCTGTTCGCTTCGAGTAGTTACCAATTACTGACTGGTTCGTGCCATCTCTGACATCTCTAGAATTATCGAGAGCATTTCACACAAGTCGGGTATTTTCGATGTGTTCTTCCGCTATCTGATAATAGATGGCGTTGTACTTCTCAATATTTATCGACGTTACGAGTTCCTTTAATATTTGTTTTGGCTATTCGGCGACAGATGCCGTTACTCTTACCGACGTAGGACTACGTACCTATTGGCATTTCTGAATAAATAATTGTGTTGAAACTGTAATATTGATAGAAATTACCTTGCTAGCTGTGTAAAAAGGTAATACGAATTTCGTACGTTTCAAGTTTAAAATTGTATTTGTGTGTAGACGTCTAGTCTTACGGGACACATGTCGAAACTTCCACACGGAAACTTCTCCGAACGGAGAGTAAAGCCTTGTTAGTCGTGTACCACATCCCGGGCCTACGGTTTTATGTCTTCATAATTTAATAAAAACAGTAATTTGTGGGCTTTTACCGTAATTATCATTAAGGAACCGGAAAGTTAAGCGCCAAGCTGGAACTTTCTTGTTTAGATTAAAGATTCCGTTCGGATGTGTAGGCGTTACACTACATGGTTTGACAATTTTCAATGTAACTTTCAATTTTCTAATAATAACGTAAAAAGTCTTAAAACGAAAAGATTTCTTTCATAGATTTGTTTTCATTGTCAAATAAGACAACTGACAACAAATAAGACAGAGTGTCATTACCCTAAAAACGTCAAAAACGTAATTCGAAGCGAATTATAAATTCACATAAAGCTGTATTGATTTTTATTACACAAAAAAGCATTCAATAGTCAAATAATGAACCGTTTTTTCTCGTCTTACAGCAAAAGATCTATCACGTCGATTTTGAGACGTCAATTCCATGCGTCAAATAGGCTCCACTCAGATGACGGCAAACAATCTGTACAAATTGGCAATCCGTTTTGTCTGAAGCCCGTTGAATGCGAGAATCATACGCTCAGGAAACACGACAATTTGAGACGTCAACGACTTTACGAGTTCGGCCTGTACGTTGCCGCTTGTTTACCGAAATACGTCCAGAAGGTGCAGATGCAATTCAACGATCAACTTGAAATACTCATTGTGCCCGACGGCCTGTTCCAAGTTCTGAGTTTCTTGCGCAATCACCAACACGCATGTTGCAACCAGTGTTCCTGCGTAACAGCTATAGACGTTCCGACGAGGCAGTTTCGATTTGAAGTCGTATATTGCCTGCTCAGTATAAGGTTCGGCGAACGAATTCGAGTTAAAACCTACACAGATGAATTAACGCCGCTTCATTCCGCGTGCGAGTTGTGGGAAAGCTGCAACTGGTTCGAACGCGAGGTATACGATATGTTTGGTATTGTATTTACTCATCACCCGGATCTGAGAAGGATTTTAACTGATTACGGATTCGTCGGTCACCCCCTTCGAAAAGATTTTCCATTAATCGGCTACACTGAGGTTCGTTACGATGACGAGCTGAAGAAACTTGTTTATGAGCCCGTCGAGTATGCTCAAGAAATGCGCCGCTATCAACTGGAGTCTCCTTGGAATTACATGAATAACTTCCACGAGGGATACAACAATCCAAAGCCAATAGATAAAAAAAAGAAAAATTAAAATCTACTTTTGTAAGATCACAAGTACATAATAATTGTTTTTGAATATTTAAAGTCTAGATTACAATTTGATTGTTCACTACAATCGAGCGACTAATTACTCTCAAATAGTAGAGCATCTGGCAATTATTCTCACATACTTATGTAAACCTTTCATTTCCGCTCAATCAACCAGATGACGGTCTTTTCAAACGACTCGATTAATAACTTAAGAAATTAGCGGAAAGTGCCTTAATTATTCCATCTTCATTCAATTAATTTGGTAGATTTGTAAGTCAGCCAAATTAGATTCGGATAGATCATTATAATGCAGAAAGGACTGCGATGTTCGTAAAGTAATTAATGTTGGTCAAAGATCAAAATTGTTATTGATATCAAGATTAATTAATGAAAAGGTACTAATTGGCGTCGTTTGATTTCTCGAGAGTTGATAAGAAGATTATTTAATTGTAATTACAATATTTGTGTACAATGGAATTTTAATACATGTTTTGGTGGTATTGTAAATTGGAATAACATCGTAAATTAATTTCCTATATATTCATGTCGAATCCTCTATAACGCCAAGCTATTAATTACCATGAAACGCAGTTTAAATTTCCCCAGTAACATATTTAGGTTTGTGGAAAGAAATACAAGAATATTTTGTAGGTGACATCGGCTTCATATTATCTTCCCCATTATATGGACATCTGCGTATAAGAATAACGACAGAGCGATGGACTGAATGAACAATCTGCTTCAATCGTTGTTGGTGGAGACTGGCGCCTCAGTGTGTAGCGCGCCCTCGCCTCTGCCGTTCGTTTGTTCGCGCCGCGTGCTCCCTCCGGCCCTCTCAAACTTGCCGCGCTAAACAAAAACTTTTTGAAAACCTAAAATAATTTTACTGCTATATTATATGAACAGTAATGACAAATGTGTTGCTGAGGAAGGTGAGTAACGCAAGAGTTTGGTATTTTTTCAAAGGAAAAATAAAAGTTTTAATTTGTGTGTATTAGTGGTGGTAGGACCTCTTGTGAGTCCGCGCACGTGGGTACCACCACCCTGCCTATTTCTGCCGTGAAGCAGTAATGCGTTTCGGTTTGAAGGGTGGGGCAGCCGTTGTAACTATACTTGAGACCCTAGAATTTATATCTCAAGGTGGGTGGCGCATTAACGTTGTGGATGTCTATGGGCTCCAGTAACCACTTAACACCAGGTGGGCTGTGAGCTCGTCCACCCACCTAAGCAACGAAAAAAAAAGTAGTGTTTTGACTTTGATATTGTTATTGCTGGTCGTCAGGTTAATAAGTTAGTGTATACAACAAACTTTGGACTAATCCTAATCTTACGATGGTATTTTCGGTGCTTACATTAATACTTCTACTTAACTATTGTGCTTTCAGGAGCACTGTTTATGTAGGTACAGCGATGATAATGATAACTGTTCAGATATATAATATGTACTTGTCCTTAGATTGCGCAATTTGATAGCGTAAACTTTCCAACAACATCTTAAGAAGCTTTCGCAATTCAGTTGATTTTGGGTCCGGTTTAGAAGTAGCGTTTTGTTAATAGGGCATAAACGGTGCGGCTTCTCGATAAAATTCATTCATTGCTCGCTTGGGTCATAGATAACGCCACAAGCCGGGAATTATGACTTCAGTATTATTTATTTCTTGAATTTTTATAATAATTATAATGATATAAGTTAGTTTAAAAGTACCATTAATGTAAATGTCATGATGAAATCTAAGACTGTCTGATTTGCGGGTGCAAAAATTGTAGTTTACGACTTTTTTTATTAGAAAGGTGAACGAACTCACAGTCCACATGGTGTTAAGTGACTGCCAGAACCCACAGATATCACAAAGGGAAAGCCACCATCCACCTTGAGATATGAGGCCTAACTACAACTGTATAGTATAATCAATGTCCCTTCCCTCAAACCGGAACGCATTACGGAATGTTTCATGGTATAAATAGGCAGGATGGTAGTAACTACCTACCTTTGCGGGCTCTCAACTCAAGATTACAATAATTACGCAAGTTATAATTTTTCTATCATCCAATCATTCGTCAACACGTGATAAGTATGTCATTGTAGCAGTAGTCATCATAGAACACAAGATACTTGACAGATGGCTGAATCTTGCCAACGATAAGCATAAAATATTCAGGCAACAATATTTGGGCTGCTGGTCTACCGGACAATTTCGCTCGTTCGGTGGAAAATCTTCCATTTATCGTTATCGCCCTAAAGTGGTACGTATTTCATTTAAAAAATATATTTGAGGAGCCGGGACAGATAAAATTGAGACTTAGGCCGCAATTCTCAAGGTCGATGCCGGAATACACCCTGCGGTGTCTATGGGTGATGCTAACAATTGACATTAGTCTGAACATGCTCAACAGTTTGTCACGGTATTTTTTCTCGATTTCTCTTCTATCGAGCTTAATCCTCATTATACAGCAGGTAGCAGGGAAGTAGACCGGGTTCCTACCAAAACTTGCCGACGCATTAGCTACGGATCTCCCGGTTGAACGGCTACCCGTATACATCTGACGGTGGATCGGTAGTTAGTGCCCCCGGTGAATCGTCAATTCGATTCACGCATTGGGCGTGCGATGAACAGGTTTGTTTGCTCTATGCTTAGGTGTTTAATATCTATATATTTGTAAAGAAAAACCTTTATTATTTAAAACCCTTTAGTTTTGAAAAAGGATTTTTCATCAGTGTCATAGAATGAAGTCTGTTATTGAGAAAAAAGAGAGCTCAGTTTTGTATAGTTTATTAAATACTGTTTACTGTTTATTTTTTTATATTAGTGTTAAAAGAGATTAATGGCTTTAAATGTTGTTTTCTTATTATACATATAACAGAAAACGCAGTTAAGCCTTTCATTGTTAATTCATTCTGAAGTACCCAATATCATTATGTAATACTAGCGACCCGCCCTCGCTTCGCTTCGGAAACATTAAAACACACATGAAACAAAAAAAAAAAATTAAAAAAAAATTAAAAAAGTAGCCTATGTTCATCAGGGACAATGTCGGCTTCTAATGGAAAAAGAATTTTTAAATCGGTCCAGTAGTTTCGGAGCCTATTCGAAACAAACAAACAAACAAATCTTTCCTCTTTATAATATTAGTATAGATGTACATGCATAATTAAATTTAATTATTTAAATCAGTCTGGTTCCCGTAGTACAGGGAATCCTAATTTGAGGCCAGTTTACCGAGTGTGACTTGCTGTGAAAATATATCAATGTTGTGGTCTTTGTAAAATGTGAAATCGAAGCCGACGCGTGTTCGAATTTCGTGCTTTATCTAACAACTGTTCAAATATTTGTATCCGGCGCAGAAAGTTTTCGAACGGAAGCCAGAAATATCAGACGCTAATTGTTTTTAAGTTTCCCGCAGTACATCAACAATCCACTAATTGAATTCTATTAGTGCTATCTCCCTTGGACATTACCGGTTATCAACCTAAATTTGTCAATTAATCATCCGATAGCGATCATGATTGTAAACGAAACTTTTTTAGCGTCCAACGTTGAGGGTACAGACATGAATGCCATTATCTTCATCCACTTCAAGTAACCATTAGAAGCCATGATGTATTATAGCATAGACCAGCTTTTAAATTGTATTTTTTGTTACAAATGTTTTACTACCACGAACTACCCACACATTTGGATATGGATATTATTAAAGTAACCTAAAATTGAAAGAAATTGTGATCTAGTTCTTTGGAGTTTTATTTGTACTTTGAAATTTATTTTATGGATTAAGTTTGCATCTAGCGTCGAAAGGAATACAGGGTAATCCCTTACGTTTGTATATGATACTTATATAATTTTTATTCTTTTACGATTCGTAGTACAAAATTTTTAGAGCCATCTAAAAATTGTGACTTTCTATAAACAGAGTGACTTACTTACCTTTAGCATTTCTATAATATGTACCTACATATCTAACTACGTAAAATATATACATCTAAGTATGTACATATAATAATTATTTACATAAATGCGACCACATAAAAACGATTTCCAATTTTAGTGTAATGATATAGTTTATGGTAATATGGTTTGAATTACATTACATTGCTTCCTCCATAATTGTCTACTTGGACAACCGAAGTCAGTGTACTCAGTATAAACATTAGGCATAGACTGAGTTTAGCGGCCGGTGCGAAGTTTCCGGCGTTCACAAAGTTTGTTAACACAGCCAACTTAGACTGTAGTCTAAAACAGGTCGCTCAAGACAATGCACATCAAAGAGATCCTTGTAAAATAGCTTCAGTTATTAATATAGATCTTATGATATTACAAATCCTAAAGTTGGTGGTCAATTTGAGGAGTTAACCAAGAGATAGTATATATTTTGATAGTTAGCATTTATTTCAATTTACTTTTTTTTATTTGATCTATTTTCAAAAAAATTATCGGTGCTATTCGTCACATATAATTGTTTATTATTAAATTTAATATCATATATTTCATCATTTATTAACTTCTAAGTTTTCTGACTAAGACTGACTGATTCGGTCCAGAAACAGAGAGGATATTTGGTACCTGCCGATTCCATCTCGCAACATGCCTTGTCAACGTTTTCTACGTGATAGAAATTCAATGCGTAAACACAAAATCGTTACACGTAATTACCTTCTACTTTTTGTAGAAAGCATAGACTCTTTTTTTAAATCAGAACTAATTATCGTCATAATGCAAGACGTACATTGCTGGACATGAGCCTTTCCTAAGGTTCGCCACAATATGCGATCCTGAGTTGTCTTCATACACCGACCTTTCTGTGACCTTCACCAGGTCGTCATTGCAGACCAATCGAACACCCGACACACGGCTCAGTAATTAGGAATGCTAACTACACCACCGCGTCAGCGTGATCGATAAATTTGATTTAAATAATATTACGACATATTGTGATCATCACCTAATATTGCAAGTATTTCCAAAACGGTTATTAATCCAAATTTGACTTTTATGTATTTACTTAAAACTAACAATTTATAATATTCGGCCTAGGAAAATGTTCAATATTTCCACGGCGTTCACATTCATTTGTTTCATTGTAAGCTTTAAAGGTCAATGTTTACATACGGCCATTTTGAAATGTTGTGGCCCGACAATGTTTGCTTTATTTTGATTTAAAATGTATAATAATTTTGCCACTTCAATTGTTTTGTGTAACTACTAAGCCTTTAATGTTTTAATATTGTTTTAAGCCTTGTTTCTTAAAAGGCTTAATGAAAGTGAATTACAATGTCTGCTTGGGGTCCTCACAGAGTATTGCACTACCTCGCATCGCACTATGGAGGACCTACTACACCAATTGTCAAAACTGTGGGTCATATAATTTGTGGATTTGACGACCTAGGAACGATAGCTAAGATGTCTCTAGATTCTTATCTCCAAACGCTGTTACAGGATTTATGCAGGTGGTATTTGGGATAAGGAGTACACAATCTTTATCTGAAATTATTGTTTTTTTTTTCAGGCTCAAAACTCTAAGATAGGATTTTTTTATTTTATTTTTATTTTTATAGACACCTGCGTCTGTAGTCTCAATTACATGAGCACAGCGGCTTACTTCCTAAGCCTCTGTGTATGATTACATCGTGACAGAAATAGGTCAGATATAATCCATCCGTATGGACTTGCAACTCTTTATTTATAACCGTAGCGGGCAGTTCAATCTAGTGTCCATTGGTTGATGAGTGATTGAGTCGCTTATGGGTATCAGTGATAGCAGTTACTGACCAATTCTCTCGTCGTTCCGAATATTTAAGATGGTGTCACGAATTAAGGAGGTAGTTAGGAAACTAGGTGAGACTACAGACACGGCTGCTACAGATGATGATGACTAGTTACTGCTCTTGTATTCCGTTATCTTCTCAAATTTATTCCTGCCTCTAACTTGCGAATATTTTCTTCGGTTAAGGCTACTGTAAGTCCGTATAGTTGATCATCATAATCTTAGGCCTTACAGCTCAGGGTGGGCCTTAGCCTGGTCCAGTATATCTTTCCAGACTGCTCTGTTCAGGGCTTTCTCCTTTCAGTTCCTGGTTAGTAGGGCCTTTGAGATCATAACTTTGAGATCGCTATATCAGTCGGTATAGTTGATCGCTATCTCTTTTAATTTTCTTGCGAAACCTTCGTTTGTTCTAGTCTGAAGGGGGTGGTGTAGACGTATGAAAATAGTCCTTAAACGGGGAATTACATTATTTTGTCTATAGGCTTTGGTAACCTCTCAAAACTAGATAGGTCATTAGCTAATTTTCCTATTAATGGCAAAGGAGACTCTAAAGAGTCTTAACTCCAGAATGTTTTCATTTTTATTTTCAAAGACTCTGTTGCAAAGATTCTTTTACTTATTGGGAATTCTCATCATAATAAGCAGGAGTATTTCTTTATCAGTACAAACGTGACAGACGCCCATTGTAATAACAATAAAAGCTGTATCTGCTCTGACAGTATGTTTTTCTCGAACATTTACGGAAGAGTAGTTACCGGTGCGCAATCACATCCGCACTCGCTTGAACGATTCCAGGGCAAGTGTCACAGCTTCAGTACGAGTATGTGGGAGTACGAGGGTATTGCTAGAATCTGTTTTTTTTTAATTTCTAACATGGGTGGACGAGCTTACGGCCCAGCTGAAGTTAAGTTGTCACCGGAGCTTATAGACATCGATCACGTTAATTGAGATATGAATTTTAAGTCTCTGTTTTATAGTGGTCTGTCCCACCTTATCAACCGAAAAGCATTACTTCTTCACGGCTGTTACAGGTACGGTGATGGTACTTACCCGTGCGGGCTCACAAGAGGCCCTACCACAAGTAATCAGGCAAATTAAAATTTTGGCGGATTCGATTTTTGTGCACAATGCTATTTCTTCACCGTGGAAGTCATCCTTTAACGTGAACTTTTAAGCTATTGCGTAGATTTTATCGCGGGCCTTGAGCCCGAAATCATGAAATTCCGTAACGAAAAAAACCTTCCACCCCTGACTCCGCCTACCATGTAGCTCGCGTTCAACACATTCACACGTTGCGCTTGTGTAGTGTTTGTGAATAAGCGTGTGGCGTAACGTCACACTGCATTTTGTTTGTTTTATTGCATAGATGGGTGGACGAGCTCACGGCCCACCTGATGTTCAGTGGTTACTGGAGCCCAAATACATTTACAACTTCTTTTTTTTGTTTTGTTTGTTTTATTGCATAGATGAGTAAACGAGCTCACGGCCCACCTGATGTTAAGTGGTTACTGGAGCCCAGATACATTTACAACTTTTTTTTGTTTGTTTTATTGCATAGATGGGTGACCGAGCTCACGGCCCACCTGATGTTAAGTGGTTACTGGAGCCCAGATACATTTACAACTTTTAAGCTATTGCATAGATTTTATCGTGGGCCATGAGCGCGGCGACCGAATCATGAAATTTCATAACGAAAAAAACCTTACACCCCTCACTCCGTACCATGTAGCTCGCGTTCAACACATCCACACGTTGCGCTTGTGTAGTGTTTGTGAATAAGCGCGTGGCGTGTCGTCACACTGCATGCGCATCATGTCAAGTCTGCCCATCTCTCTCTCGCGTGGTCTAGCTTATGAGTGTGAAGGGGACAGTTAAGGTTTTGCTTTTATTAATGTTTAATATAGCGTGGTCTTGTTTTATTATTGTTTTAATATTAAAATATCATTGTCGAATTATAATTGCATAAAAAATGCTATGCAATAGCTTTACCGCGGCAGTTCCCGAGTGCCACACGTTTTTTTTTTTATTGCTTTAATGGGTAGATGAGCTCACAGCCCACCTGCTGTTAAGTGGTAACTAAAGTCCATAGACGGCTGGCCCACCCTTCAAACTGAAACGCATTACTGCTTCACGGCAGAAATAGGCAGGGTTGTGCCACCTACCCGCGTGGACTCACAAGAGGTCCTACCACCAGTAATTTATTAATCACATAATATTTAATCAGAAAAATTCTTACCTGTCTGCGGGATTTGAACACTGGCACAGTCGGATCCCTAGGTACGAATGCACCGGGCATCTTATCTTGCGGGAACCGATGACTTCAAAAGTCGTTTATATTGGGCTCCCGTTACGAAGATGTCTACATATTAGTCTAGAAACTAATCAAAGAAAGGTCATTCCAAATAAACTCGATTCAAATCGATAGCCAGATTTGAGTCGTCTATTATCAAAGGTGGCAATCTGTGCATTTGGACAAAATTTTTTTATTGATATGTCAATTCAGATTGATTTGAATATAATCGTCTCCTTCAAAGAATACGGTTCAAAACCTGCATTAAATGAAGGTTAATAGTTAACCTGTTATTTATCTAAGATGTCGTTCCGAAGAGTTTTGTGACTGCCAATGGAATACAAAGTCAATAATTCGTTTTTCTGATTTACCAATCATTGTCCAAAAGTCAGATTGCCGGCTTTGATAATAGACGACTCATTTATCGTTATTATTGAAGGACAATGAACAAAGACATTTTTTTTCCTGACTAATAAATTAGATTTGTCTAGCTTCGAAAATAAAACTGTTGTGCAAACAAGTCGAGAGAGAAGTTACATAAAATTAGAAAACTTCAAGCTACGAAATAAGTTACAAAAGTAGTTTGAGAACATTATAAATAATAATATGTTTTTTATTACTTTTGGAGACAGACGAGCATTGCACCCACCCAGTGGGCAGTAGTCACTGTCACATTGTCATAGACATCAGAAATGCCTACAAAATTACTTATCGCATCAAAGTATTTTTACTAAGAAAAAGATTATTTATTTTATTTATTTATGTACACACAAAAAAGAAGACATAGTACAGAGTAATAAGAAAACTATGTACAAAAGCACTGCTCATTTCTATAAGAAATCTCTTCTAGCAGACCTGCGAGAGGATTATGAGAATAATAATGAAAAGTGATGAGTGTGATACGATACGATATTATATTGAGATAAAATATTTTGAAAGCGAATGTACATGATCTCTTCTTAAAAACAAATATTGCTTGATTGTTTTGTAGTATGTTGTGGATTATATAATGTATTTTATTTGATATGCATTACTTATCTATATATTTTGTAAGTATATATTTAAATCTATGTATTTATTTTGGTAATTTTATTATAACCTAGTGTTTATTTTAACTCATGTCTACTATAATTCTTTGAAATATCGCCATGTATTAACTTTATCACAGCTACGCACTTCTTGAATCTTTCACTTCATCAACGAGGGTTAACTGGAAGAGAATGCCTGCATGGCGTTAAGTTCGCCTTTGTACAATGTTATTGTGCAATCAAGAATTTTCAATCAATTTAATCAATACGTGGATAGCTTCATTTAACCTTTCATAGTAGTGTAGGTTAAGAGATCAATCGTCAAATCCAACTTTGCAGCTTTCGGAAAACTATGCACAATCTTCAGATCACAAATACCAGAGTCTTTTAAGACGAAAGTCTTTGAGCAGCGTGTGTTGCCAGTGACGACACATATACCATAGCACTGATACGTGATCGCTCAAAACGGGCCTTATCAGAACAGGCCAACACCCAAAGAGCAATGATGAGGACTATGCAAAGAGTTTCTGTACGGAATGAGGAAATTCGCAGGAAAACCATCGTAGCCGACATTGCCCAAAGGATAGGCGCGTTAAAGTGGCAGTGAGCAGAGCTAATTGCTCGTAGAATAAATTGCCGCTGGGGCCGAAAAGTTGTCGAGTGGTGACCGCGTGCCGGAAGACGTAACGTGAGTAGGCCTCCCACAAAATAGATCGACGACCTCTTTAGGTTCACGGGGATCCGCTGGATGTAGGCAGCGCAGGTCTAGCATTTGTGGCGAAGCTTAGGGGAGGCCTATGTCCAGCAGTGGATGTGTGTGGGCTAAAAGATAAACAGAAGAAGATAAGAAAGATAAGATAAGAACAGAATAACAAGATATGAAGAACAGTGCAGTATTTTTTTTTCTTTTTATTGGCAAAAAATACCACCTGATTTCGCTGTCATAATAACCACTAAACAAATAAGCTAAACTCATAACTTCAAATCATTATTGAATGATCGCATAAGGTACAAAAATGACTACCTGCTTACAGCCTCTGTAACCCTTATTTGCAACATCGCCGCGTGTTATCGATAGTATAATGGGGAATATTTGCCGCTTTATAGAAATTACCTATGGAACCATATTGTACTTGACTTTTATGTTAACGCAACCACACATAATATTCTTTTGAATGAGGCTTCACATGAACTTTTTAGTTTCATGAATGCCAAATTCATTGAATGATATATTCTTTAAGTGTTCATTAAATAATTGCCCTAGAAATAAGAATCTTCCAAACTATACTTATCCCGGCTGATAAAGTCTTTACTTTGTAAAGCTTTATTTTGTTTTATTATGACGTCATCAAAAAGCAACACCCATTGCGCTAAGATGTCAGAGCCAATAATAAACCCATTAAATACAAGACGTTTTAATCAATTAGTTGGGAGTGAGATTTATGTATCTCATTAAATGTATCTATTTCGATCTCTTGAAGACTCATAAGGCTATCGCTAACTTTTTCGTAGAGACTACATATTTTTAATCAGAAGTGTGCAATAACATAGTAAGTATGTAGTAACAAAGATTTAGATTTTTTCTTTGTTTGCAGATTCTGATGGATCCCTTTGGTTATACATAAAGAGGGCACGAGTGTTTGAGTGTCCGTGTGACTGGAAATATGCAACAGCCATGGTCGATATATTTACTAGCAATTTTCATGTTAGGATTGGATTCGAAACTCGTCGGTTAGTTTTGTGTTTAACTTCAGTTTCTTAGCCTGCAATCAGTTCAGTAGTTTAGTTTTATTCACTACAACAGCGGAACTAATTAAATATATTCTTCCAGTATTATGTAAGCCGATTTTTTTTAATATCAATAACTATACATTGATAAACGATTTGTTTATTTAGGTCAAGCATTTCAACCGGAATTTGCTGAGCCATTGATGAATATAACGATACCAGTAGGACGAGATGCTACATTCAGATGCCTTGTACAGAACCTTGGAGGATACAGGGTACGTTTAAAATAATACAAAATGCTTTGTGAAATTCGACAAAAATTTATTATGATACTTTTTAGGTAGGCTGGGTTAAAGCTGATACAAAGGCCATTCAAGCGATACATGTTCATGTCATAACCAACAACCATAGAGTCGCTGTGTCCCACAACGGGCCAACTGTTTGGAATCTACACATCCGTAGCGTTCAAGAAGAAGATAGAGGCCAATATATGTGTCAAATTAATACAGACCCAATGAAAAGCCAGGTACTCAATACTTATGATTTGTCTATAAGGAAAATTTTCTAAACAAATTCAATTAATAAGAATCTGCCTAAAGCTCATGAGAAAATTGATTCTTGTTCGTTGTATTCCTGATTTTTTATGTGAGATATTTTTTTGCTCCTGTAATATCCTCGCAGGCGAACTTGTCTGTACAGAAACTCTCTCGTCATTATTTCGGGTACAAACATTTTTCTGCTCTTAAATAAAATCTTATCTCTCGGTCCCCAAGAGTCAGTCGGAGAAAATAGTTTCCAAATCATTTTCTTGCGATAGTAAACCATTAATTGCGTTGAAATTCCTACGACTAAAATAAAAATATATATGCCCATAACAACGTAAAATAAAAAATGATTAACTGATGTTTGTAATACTTTAGAATTTAAGGACATGACGTGTTCTTTGACTTCTAAATGAGTGCATTTAGAAAGCAATATGAATATTAATATAACCGGATTAATCAACTGCGTAAATTTCCAAAACCAATTCGACTTAATTCCAATCATAAAAATAATATCAACGGCATGAGATTTAAAACCATAAATCCAATAAATTGGCAACGAAAACAGTAAGCTGTTTGAAATTTGAATTACTTCCGTAGTATCTAGTAGAACTGTGGTTAAATCGACACAGTAAAATGGCCACGTCAATACACAAATCAACAACATGAATAAAAATGTAAACAGTCTACAATATTTTTGTGACCAAGTGAATTGATATATGAACTCTTTTATATAAAGAAACAGTAGCCATAAATTAAAAAATAAGCAGACAAAAATAGAAGAAAACCAGAAAAATCCCCAAATAGGTATCGCATCAAAATATGACATTATTTCTGATATTGATGCAAGAGGTGCAAAAAATATGCTGTCGCCTTCCTCTAATACTCTTTCTTCTTCACTGTGGTAATAAATCATAGTCTTAACCCCTCCAAAAACTATAAGCGAGAACATCGAACAAATAAAGACAGAAAATAAAGAAGCTACAACCGCAGTTATCGTGGCGGGACTTCGAAATGAAACGTCCTTTGATAAAAATACCATCATTCCATATCCAGTACCGACAGACAGAAAACCTCTAATTATTGAATTCATACATGAATGATAATAAAAACATCTGTAATTGAGATTGAATTTAGAGGTGTACCAAGTTCCACTAGTAGAAACTGAAACACAAAACAAAATGACTACAATTGAGCAGACATAGGTGATGGTAGTTTTGCAATAAAATTGAAATAGTTTCTCTCTTTTTAATGTTAAAATAAAGAAAATTACACCCAAAGTTAGGCTGAATGTGATACTTTTCCACTCATACATACAGCCAAACGACATTTTTGTATTTTTATCTCCAATTTCTTTGCTAAAGAATAAATAACTTGCCGTTTTGAAGCCACAATCTTCATCAAATAGAGACTGAGTTTCCAAGCAGTGCTGAAACACTGATACGTCCTTACGTTTCACCATGCATTTTGTAGTATTATAATCATCGCATGAAAACCACGGCGGGGGATCCGCCACAGCATAAAATGCGTACTCCAAATACCAAGTCGTCAAAACCATAAAATAAATAGTTTTCAGAATTACAAGATATATCATACCGTAACCAGCAATCCGAAAAATTGGAAAGAAATTCCACATTGATATCACATTACCATTCATGTACTGTCCAATACATATTTCTGAATACACTAATGGCATTCCAATGAAAATCACAGAAATCGCATGGAGGACTGCATGAATATAAAATCCACTATGTGATATCTCCGCTGGACAGAACATCAATGTTGTTTCGTTAAGCATCCATAGCCACACTATCAGCTTATAGTTTCCGTAAGAATTCCATCGACTTTGAATTTTTGGACAATAATTTCCAGCAAATTCGTTTTGAAACATATTTCGTAATGTTTTAGTTGAAAATCATGACCAACTAGTTATAAACTATCCACATTCAATTGAGGGAATAGAGCAATTGTCACTATTTACTACATTTATGTTAAATGACGACGGGAGACGAATTGAAATTAAGGGAAGCGTACGAGTATAAGTGAATTAAGCTGCACGCGAAGCAACCCCAACGCAGCGGGTGGTGATTCCTGTATGGTACACCTAACTTATTGTGTTGTTCTGTAATTTGTAGTTATTTTCAAACGTGTTAAGACAAAACTCGTGCTACTTTTTCAACATCGATATATTTGGTATTTTTTTATTATTTATTGCTTAGATGGGTAGACGAGCCACAGCCCACCTGGTGTTAAGTGGTTACTGGAGCCCATAGACATCTACAACGAAAATGCGCCACCCGCATTGAGATATAAGTTCTAAGGTCTCAAGTATAGTTACAACGGCCCCATCCTTCATACACAAATGCATTACTGCTTCACGGCAGAAATAGGCAGGCCGGTACTACCTACACGTGCAGACTCACAAGAGTCCTACCACCAGTAAAAGGTGTTGGTAATTCTCGTCTTAATCTAAAATATTTATAACCATTCTAACCATTCGTTTCATTTTATCAGATAGGTTACTTGGATGTAGTTGTATCACCCGACTTCATAGCGGAAGAAACGTCAGGTGATATTATGGTGCCAGAAGGAGGTACTGCTAGGGTTTCTTGTCGTGCTCGAGGTATGCCAGAGCCACGAGTCATGTGGCGGAGGGAAGATGGAGCTGATATCGTTTTGAGAGAGTCCAATGGCATCAAAACTAAAGGTAGGTAGATTTTTTATTATTTTCGTTTCATATCTCTGTAATATAACATCATATCAGTAATAATAGACACTTCATACGGTTTTGGCGAGTCGTAGATATATTCAAAACTACTTTCATTGCTTAATCTCGTTTTTATCACGTTTATTATATCCTTTTTAAAATTCCAAATCGATATGTGTATTTTAGTTAGATATGAGTCGTTATCGGACACCAGGAATGTCGGGGAACAAACTACTAAGCTTTGATACTGTACTGAATAATTGTTCTACATATTATGATGCTTGTTGAAAGCCTTAGTGGGGTTTAAGTACGATAAGTACCTGAAATTTTAAGGTAAAAATAATAAGTGCGAGATTAAACCAAAAAAATAGTCTGAATCTGTCAATAATTTATAGATGGAATAGACCTCAAATGATTGTATTCCGCTCTAAGATGTTGCTGGTATCATGATTTATGTGATTTTATTCTCCCTAGTCGCTGTTTATGAAGAAGAAGTACTAACTTTAAACAAAATATCTCGATCAGACATGGGTGCATATTTGTGCATAGCGAGCAACGGCGTCCCGCCTTCTGTGAGCAAGAGAATCATCATAAAAGTTCATTGTAAGTAAACACAATACCAGGAATGATGTGGGCACTCAGCCCTTTTCGTTATTGCTTTAGACGGGCAGACAAATTAACGGACGTGCGACCTATCTGGTCACGAAGATATGAGGTTTGATACCACCACCCATCTTGTGACATGAAATCGCGTGATCGAAGTCTGTATTTTTTCACTCAGCCCTCCAATCAAAAGAACTAAGAAAGATGCGCGTATCCGCATCGGGGAACGCTTCTGCCCATTCTCTAGAATGAAAATCGAATCAAAAAGATACGCTTATACGACCACATTGTCGTATTACATAATAAAATAAATGTTATTTACGTTTTACGTGTTATTTAATTAGTAACGAAAAACTTTTTCGATTCGGTTTAGCTGGAAAATATTTAACGGCAACTTTCATTTCGACAATGAAATAGGTCTGCGGCAAATTCGTGGTAATTGTTGTTTATCTCGGCAACTTTCGGAGGTTTCTTGTTATTAATGGTGTTCTCTAATGTCAGCGAGTAGTAGCTTTTAATTATTTCTGGCTGTAAGAGACTGTTTGCGTCTTAGCGTCAACCGAAGCGGACATTTTGCTTTTATGCAAGATTTAACTTTAATATTATTAGGCTAATTTGCGGAACAAAGTCGCGCTTACAGAATTTTCACTTTTTGATGCTATTAATAAAATGAAGATAACGAGTCAGGAGCTTCAGTGAGTCTTTGTTTTTAAAGTCTTGGCTTCGAAAAGTGATTCCAGTTTCGAGCATAAGCAAACATTAGATATTTTCAATATTAAACAAGACAAATATATAGAGAGAGCTGTCAGGCCCCCTTTGGCACTCGGGCAGTTGTGAGCAAATTTTACCTCTACCAGCTGAGCCCGAACTCACCTACCCGTCCTAATAAAACTGAAAAAGCCTTCAAACCACCATTAATCCTTCCATCAAAATAAAAATACAAAAAGAGAACATGATAAATCAAAATAACGTCTGTTTTCGAATGCTAAAATTACCGGAAACTTTAATTTTTGAGAAATTAATTTTTATTTTATGTTCGACAAAAAAATTACGATTGACCAGTAATTTCATTGTTGCAGTTCATCCCGTAATTCAAGTTCCAAATCAGCTGATCGGAGCACCTCTAGGCACCGATACTACCCTTGAATGCTACGTCGAGTCGTCACCGAAATCCATAAACTATTGGGTTCGAGATTCCAGTGAGTACACATTTAAAATTCTCAATGGCATTCCTTCTAATTTTGTTACTAATTATTTTATTCTATAAAAAGTTAAACGAGCATAGTTCCTAATTATAGTTCTCTAATTATGGTAGAATGCTTGAACTCCTAACCTAGAAATAGTTACGAAATATTTAAATTCAAATAGCAAAATGTACTATCAATTAATTTCATCTTTATTTTTCCTGTTGATACTTAATGTTGTTGATCACAATAGTGGAGCGAACTGATAAAATTATTATATCATAATCGGTCCGTGATGTCTTTTAAAAGTTAATTGGAGGACTTGAAGTGGATGAAAGTTAAGTTAAGAAAATTTCGTTATATTCATACCAAGCTAATGAAAGACTGTTAAAAATTATGTTTTGTATCTTTATCTTCTAAGCGTTTCCGTGACATTCAATCAAGTGTGACGAAACTCTAAGGAAGGCCCTGCCTATTTCTGCCGTGAAGCAGTAATGCGTTTCGGTTTGAAGGGTAGGGCAGTCGTTGTAACTATACTGAGATCTTAGAACTTATATCTCAAGGTGGGTGGCGCATTTACGTTGTAAATGTCTATAGGCTCCAGTAACCACTTAACACCAGGTGGGATGTGAGCTCATCATTCAATTAAAAAAAGGTTTCTGACATACTCGTAGAACTATATACGGAAAAAAGGTGGCACATGATTAGTTTCAAGAAATTTATGTTTTTATACAAAAAGTAATAGTCATCACGGTGAGTTTCATTAGTAATAATAACACCTCAGATTCTTTGGGGAGGTGTTTATCGTTGTACTCTTAAAAAAATGGTTAAATTGATATTTTTTTTAAATGTAGGTTTTCAGTTGGATATCTAAATCGTTTACATTAAAATTTGGGGTCGGTATTCCGTAAGTGACATTGCAATCGGCTTTTAGGTTTTTATTTTATTTACAGAGAAGAAAACATCTGCTGGGTCCGCTAATTTTTTTAAACATTTTAGATAGGACTAGGATAGGACCTTAAAGAACAAGACATTTTGTGAAAAAGCATCTACAAATAACTCATCTATAAATAACTGTAGATAATAATTATATAATATTAAAGATATATGTAGTAAGAAGTCTAAAAATCTAAGTCAAAATTAAAAAAAATAATTAGGCAGGGAACCTACACCCGGGCAAAGTGGGTTGCCCCGAGGCCCGATCCGCGCCCCGTAAGGGGTCGTAAGGACCCGACAGCAATAGATATAATAGAATGTAAAAAATACCGTTAAAATTTATAAATTTGTTTGAGTGTTCACAATTTATTCATTGCTTATACATATATTATGTTATAGCTTGGTACAGTTGTTGATGATACGACTATGTGTTTTTGGGTTTTAAAGGAATGGTCGTTACACAAAGCAAAGTTCGACATCGTGTCTCAAAGTTAATGGTCACAAACAAGTTCTTCTGTCTAGGGACTCCGGTAACCAATGAAGACAGAGCCGGCCGCAAGCTCATTTATGTTAAAGTTGGAGTGTATATATGTCCTAATGTATTCTAGTGTATCTATGACTTTTGTTGTCTAGCTCTCTCTGGTACGCTCTGCTAATAAAGATGGTGCCCAATTTATAATGTTAATCATTTTAAATCCTCAAAAGTTTACTCATCTACGCAATAAACATTATTTATTGCCTTATGTCTTTGCAGTTAGATGATATGGTCTACCTGATGGTGAGTGGTCGCTCACGGACGTCAGCACAACTAGGACCACAGCAAAGCCGCTATCTGCCGTTAAAATTCGAATCTCACTATAACTTCATTACTTAAACTGATCGGATTAATATGGCTCATCAATTATGTATGTAATGAGACAAACTAGTACCTACCTAAGATATAATGCAAGTCATGCCCAGTAGATACTGATTAGTTTACGATCCCTTAGGGACAACCCCGGTCACCATGACTACGACCTCTGCACCATTGAATTTAATCTCTCCCGCAGCAGTAATTTAAGCTAGTGGCTCTTAAGAAAAGTGGTCAATTAACTAAAGAACTTTGAATAGGAAATCAGGTGGATTAGTTATATTTTTTTTTCGATTTAAATATCGGACGGCTAATAACATACTCTGTTACCTTTTCCAACATTGTACCCAAATGGGATCCAATGTCCAGCTTTTGAGCGTTTTTGTTTTCCAAATAATGTAAAAAAATTAACGAGTACGCCATACAAATTTGTTTGCCAAATAAATTACTTATTTTAGCATCGTTAATGAAAAATGTTTAAAAACTTACCTATGAAAAACAAGATATTATTACGAAATAATCATAATCAAATTAATAGATTCCTTCCTACTTTCTGCTTTTGAAGATAGGCTTCAAGTGTCTACGGTTTTATTGCGCTTATGTTTACACATCTACAATTTATCTGTCGTTAGCTCTTTAGTACCCAGCCCTTAGTTTGTTATGTACTACTGCTGACGGCGAATGGCGCAAATCGATTCACTTATTTTTCATGATGGCTACACGAACTCACTGCCCGCCTGGTGTGTACTCGGTTACCCGAGTACATCGACATGAACACGTGAATATTGCCACACACCTCGAAATATGAGTTCTAAGTCTCAATTGTATTGTATAATGGCTGTCTCACTAGTCAAAGCGGGCCAAACACTATTCTGCTGCAAAAATAGGCAGACTGATAGTATCAGTGAGGATTTATGACTAAAAACTCCGGTTGGTGATAGATACATTGATGCATAGTGGACTGATATAATCCTCACAGAACTTATCCCATTCTTCGATGAATTCTCCTTAGGTGACGCCTTTAAGACGTCCACCTCAATAAAAAGGTTTCTACTAGTGTATGCTATAAAAGTACGAAGGCGTTTTATTCATTTATATAAATATCTATGAGTTCCGGTAGGTGTTTGTTAGGCGGACCGTGAGCAAGTCTGCTCATCTTAAAATTAAAGCGATTAAAAAAAACATGAAACTTTCGTCCCGCCAGGAGAATATTATACTCTGCTGTAATTAGAATTTTTTGGCTCAAGCCCTGGGCGGGTGATGCTTGCGAGTAATGAGATATTAAGTTTTAATTTACGAGTGCGTGGGTTTAAGTCCTTAGCTGAAGCTATTGTAAATTAAGACAATGCTTGTTAGTTCCAGTGGACGCGTTCACGACTCTTCACTGACTTCACATAATGCTTTTGTTGGAATAAAGTGAATCTAAGATTTTGATTCTTAAAAAGCTACTTTGTAATTCATATTAATAGCACATTGTACATATGCATACGCTTACATATAACATTAAGCTATATTATAATATAATTTTCTTAATGAGAAAAAATAAGACATTAGCAACATATTATTTATTGGTTCTGATCGAATACTATGGACAAGTGGATAACGAGGATATTTGATTAAAGCTCACGTAGACCTTTGTAATAATAATTGTGTTTAGAGTGTTATTTTTTTAATTATTATTTGAGGTCACGCGAATATGCTAGTGGAAAGTAAGGCTACCGTCGCTTCTCCACCTCAGTAGTACTGGGGTCACAGACAAGCCGCTGTCTACCGCTGAGAGTCACTGCCTTTTTCGTTCTAAAAGAACTAGATGTTTATAGAACTCAGAAAACATTGTTTGCTGTGGGCTGAAGCCTTGGAGAGCAAAGGCGAGGCTCTTGCTGTGAGCCTTGATATCGCGAAGGCCTTCGACAGGGTCTGGCATAGGGCACTTCTATCGAAGTTACCATCTTACGGAATCCCCGAGGGTCTCTGCAAGTGGATCGCTAGCTTTTTGGATGGGTGGAGCATCACGGTCGTTGTAGACGGTGACTGTTCTGATACCATGACCATTAACGCTGGCGTTCCACAAGGTTCGGTGCTCTCCCCCACGCTTTTCATCCTGTATATCAATGACATGCTGTCTATTGATGGCATGCATTGCTATGCGGATGACAGCACGGGGGATGCGCGATATATCGGCCATCAGAGTCTCTCTCGGAGCGTGGTGCAAGAGAGACGATCAAAACTTGTGTCTGAAGTGGAGAACTCTCTGGGGCGAGTCT